CCAGTTCAGAGCTCAAATCCCCAAGGTGAGACTTACGTTTTCAGACTTTTACGCTTAGAGAACTGACCTAAAAACTCTTACTGTCCTATGTCTTTATTCTCCACTTTAAATTCTTAAACTCTAACCATTTCCACAAACCAACCAGAGAAATATTAGGAGGAAAAAGCAGGGGAAGAGGGAAGGAGAGTCTGCCATATCTTTCCATCATGTTCAAGATATTAGTTCTGATTTGGTAACTCAGGATGAAAAGAGCCGACTTTGCTTCTCTTTTATTTCTAGGATTCCCCTACCTGTGTTCTTGATTTCACCTTTCTTCTGCTCCTCTTGCTTCATCAGATTCTTTGTTTTATATCCTCAGATTCTCCGTGTTCATTGGTTTCTTCTCATTAGGTCTGCAAATATGGTCACTTTTCCCTTAATAAAAATGTTTCCTTGACTCTGTCTCTCCTTAAGGTGGTCATCTCATTATTTTCCCTTATGGAATTTTTTATAATCCCTTGTTAAAAAACTTGTTGCTGCCAAGTCGATTCTGACTCATAGTGAACTTAATAGGACAGAGTAGAACTGCCCTGTAGGGTTTCCAAGGAGCAGCTGGTTAGCTTTTGGTTAGCAACCAAGCTCTTAACCACTGAGCCACCAGGGCTCCTTAATCCTTTGTTTGAGGATATTATATTTTTAAATGGATAAAATAATTGAAGGATGGTATGAAATAGTATATGATTAAATGCCAGAATGTTTACAGTGTACTTTAGTCTGATAGTGGAAGATGGATTTATCAAAATATTGTTGTAGGTAGTATAGGAAAAATGTGTTTTTTTGATCCATTTATAGGCTTTTTAAAGGATTGCAGCTTTCCAAAGCAGTCTAAAATTAGATAAAATGTCTCTGGGAATGAGGTTGAAGGAATTTTTACATTGGAAAGTAGGTGTGATTTAGATGACTAGAATTTAAGCTTTTATGGTTATATGGTTTTTTTTTTAATAATTCTTTGATATGGAAGCACATGCTTGCACAATTTTTATAGTCAAATGAAACATGTACTTTCAAAAAAGGGGGCAAATGAAAATACATATGATTCTTATGTCAGTTATTCCTGTCAGTAACAATATTTAATAAACTTTATTTCTTTATTTATGGATAATATTTTTATATATAGTATTAATGAGACATATAAGTGTGGCCACTCTGTACTATCTTTGGAAATCATATAGTCAGTTCTCTTTCCTTTGCAGTATATAATCTGTGCTGAAATATCAGGCTGTTATACATGAATTTTGACAGCTCGTCTCGTCCCTGCTCCTCTACTCCCCCATGCCAAAAAACCAGGACTTCGAGCCTGTTCTTCACAGTTCAGTCGTGGTTGACAAAGCGAAACCAGAATGGACCCAAATTTGTAAAATGTGGGTGAACTGGTATGATAGCCACAATGGGAAAAATTATGGGTTGATGCCCTGCTAGAAACTTAATCCCCCTCCTAGAATACAAGGGCAGCATGTGTGTTGCATAGCAACCAAGTCTCTTGACCAACAGAGTGGAAAACAGTGGTGCTGGCTCAAAGATGGTGGCTGACCATGCTGATTTGAATGTGTGTCGCTCTCCACAGACCTGCTAGTAATCCAGTCTCCTGCATTAGGCTCCTGAGAGGGCTCACTACACCTCTTTCGAGCCTCCCATCCCAGCGCTTTGACCTATAATTTTTCCCGTTCCGGTTATGTTCCACTTCTTCCAAATTTAAAAAATTCGGATCTATTCTGATTTTACTTCGTTTGCCCTGACTGAACTGGCTCGAACTGGTTCAAAGCCCTGCAAAAAACTCAACAACCGGAACACAAAACCACATGCAACCACTGCTGGAAAAAAAGTCTTTTGAGTATTTTTTTGTGCTGGTGGTTTGTTGAAGGAAAAAAAAAACACTCCTAAGGGTCTGAACTGGTTTATAGAGCTTCTTTCTCAGGCATGAAAATTGAGTTGTAGATGTGCATGTATGTCTCTGTTTACAGGGAAGAAAGGCGTGAGAGACAAGAACAGGCTTAACATGTGCCATGAGTGGCAAGCTTTACTCTAAACATTCCCAGCTTCAGATACCTTATACCAAAGAGAGCAGAGAGCAAGAAAAGGGAAATGTCTGGTAACACCGTACTTAGGACAGAAGTACACATTCTAGCGACCACAGCCTCTTTCACCTACTCTCAGCTTTTTGCTTTTCTCTGTTCTTCACTTGGTATTTGTAACTGTGATCGGAGAGTTGAATGAAAAGCTTGGAATGACTGGGAAAAAAGAAAAAAGTAAAGGCTGGTAACAGGAAAATACAGAAAATGTATTGAAAGCCTTGGTGCTTGAGGTAGTATATCCTTATCAATCTCCATAAATATGGAGTTATCTCTTTCTTTCAGTTTTGTATTGCCCTGGGCACGTACTATGAGTCAGAATCGACTCGACAGCAACAGGTTTGGTTTGGTTTTGGGGACATGCTAGTGCGTTAATACGCTGATAACATGAGGTTAAGAGAGAAAGTGGAAATATCCAACTCTTTGGTCTCTGAGTATTTCAGGTAGTTTTTCATTTAAAGGATCTTTGGGCATAGTTATTCCCTTCTCAAACTTTGCTTACTTGGCTTGCCTCATTCCTGCTTTCTCTCCCAAGTTTTCTTTATATTATAGTTTCTGTATTTATGACATATTTAGATTCTTCAAGCATCTGCCTCAAAAGTTTGATTGGAGAAGCATAAACCAAGTGAGATACACTTTCCTCTGAGAAGATACAGATTCCTTAAGGGAATAGGGCCAGGATTATGGCCAGGAGAAAGGAGAATGTAGTTTTCTAGAAAGAACACTTGACTGGGAATCAGGATACTCACATTCTGTTTCCATCAAAACCAAATTGTAAGTTTATGAGCTTCGCCAAGATATTTATCCTGGCTGTACTGCAGTCTCATTATCTGAAAAGATTGCATGTAAGGTCCTTCTGAGAATTACCTCAAAGGATCTTACAGAGCATATGTGTCTATTTTTGATTTAGAGGAAACTGGCATGATGTACGTTCCCCCCATACCTTTGAAGAAGAATCTTAAAATCCAGGAACCGAAAGGGGTAGCAAGGAGTACTGTAGTTTTTCAACCTCTGGGATAAAACAAAACACTGATTTTCCTCATTATTGTCATTATATCATTTGAATAAAAGGCCTTGACATTTTCACAGAGATACAGTGTTTAGGACAATGAGGAAGTTGATTCAGAACCTTGTTTTATGTTTTTATCACTTAAAACAGGGCTGCACACTCAGGTGTCTATAAGGGCTAGACAGGTAGCATAAATGGAGTGAAGAGGCTGTCGCAGGATCATAGGCAGTGGTGGGGGACTGTGGTGACTGGAGGATGCATACTGTGCAAACGTAGGGTGGCCGCACCTGATTTTAAAACAGCAGGTGGGCAAGAAAACATGCCTCTCAGTGGCAAAGGCCATGGGTGGCAGTGAATATTGTCTTATTGAAAACAACAAATTTTTATTATTAAGAATTGTAGGTTAGAAAGTTACCAATTTTAATAATAAAATACAGTGTTATAGACAATATACACAAGATATTTCCTTCAAGTATGTAATTTGTGTGGTCCTTCTTTTAGTCGGCCTTGGTGTTTCTACATGGCTTTATTCTGTTCCATTCTCCTTTAAAAAATGTTGTTTTTTTTAATAAATAAAATGACACAAGTTTTTCTGTTCTTATGTCCTAAATTTTAATAAAGATCCTTTTATGTTGAATAGTTCAAGTCCCTCCCCCCCAGAAATAGTTGTTTTGAATATTCCTTAACTTTTTTCCAATGTTAGTAACTCTTTTCCCCACAAAGAACTTAATTCATAAGTTTAACCTGAATCATCACCTTAAGCCCCCTTTCTCACATTTTATTGTTTGTAGTGAGAACCAGTTGATCAGTGTTTTCCTTGTAATAGCTTTCAATTGAAAATAACCTATTCCCACCCCCTTTTGGCACAAGAAGTCTAGATACTTCTATCATGAATTTTGTTTTCCACTGCTATGGTAATTATGACATAATTACTTTTCTCTGAACGCCCTCTAATCTGTACACTAAAAAATAATTTTTGAACTGTGCCCAGTCCTTTTATGGACTGATCAGACTGGTGAGATAATACCATTATGTATTGCTTTTGTTAGAGTTAGCACCATACTGCTTGATCATATTCACCGCACAATCTATAACCTCAATGTCTTTTTTTCCCCTACTGCCTCTGTTGTAGTCAGACTTTCTTTCTACTTTACACACAAAATTCATTTTTCATTTGTGAGTGTGCTGCTTTGTACTCACACCTAGTAAGTACTGTCTTGTTTTTGATGGATCATTTCTGTCTCTGATTTATCAAGGGCACTTGGAAATTTATTATTTTCAGAACTTCTAGAAACCTTAACTTAGTTTGTATTCACAAAGTGACTAAGAATGCTTTCAATTCTGTTATGGCAGTCATTGATTGAAAAAAAAAATCAATTATTATTGGACCCAGGAGTCTGGGTGCTGTTATATAACTCCCCCGGGTTGCATCAAGCCATTTATTTGTCACCATTAACTAATGCTTTTCTTGTTACTGAGTGTTTTTAAAATTCCACCAACATTGGTATCATAATTTCTTATTTGACTACTGACGTGTTATGAAGCTCTTTTGTATAATTTGAACTTACATTAGTATTTTTTTTCTTGGAACTAGACTTGAGTGATTTAGAATAACAGTCTGGGGAGGGGGTAGTTGGTGGTAGAGAATAAACCCAATAATTGCTTAATGTATGCATAGACTTCGTAGCACCATTATTTTATATTTTTGTTAACAAAGTGAGGGAAAATAGGAGAGCCTTTGGGTTGGGTAGAAATATCTATTTTGAAGATAATTTTGTTCTGTATTGGACTTTGAGAATCTATGCTTTGATTTAAATTTAAAAGTCAGAGTCCTATTTAATATATGAACATAATGAAACATTTTTTTGTTATTGTCGTTACAGGTTTCTGAAGGTGACAGTGAAATGTGAAGAAGTTATATTTCGAATGTGATACTTGAAAGTTAGTGACTGCTTACCTAATTTTTTTGAAAATTAAATATGGCTTTAGAAGCATTAATTTATGAAGGTTTATGATGTCATCGATGGCCACAGAAAGCAAACTCCAGCAGGCTGTGAGCCTGCAGGGAGTTGACCCAGAAACATGCACGATTGTGTTTAAAAACCACTGGGCACAGGTAAGATATGAGTTCTGTCTCCTCTGCTGATCTCAGTAGCCCCAGAGGCCTTTATCATACTGAACCAGGTGTCCTACCTCTGTGACAAGTAAAGAGACTTCTAGAAACACAAGGAGGGAAACCCTTTCTGGTGGGAGACAAGCAGCTTTCTCTTCTTCCTTTCCTAGAATAAGTATCTGGATTAAAAAAAAAAAAAAAAAACCATTGTTTTCACAAAAGCAGTTAGGGGATATACATGCTCCTCAGATGGTCTTAGAAGAATAGGTATTGGCCTTAAAGTAACTTTTATGTCACTTTGCAATATATTTGACAATAACCCCATCCTCTTTCTTTCTTCCTCCTGCTGATTTCCAGGCCAGCCTTTAAACTCTAATAATACTAAAGTATATATTTACTAAACATTTACCAAGTACTATGCTGATACTTCAAAGGCCTTATATCATTTAATCATCTCCACAGACCTATAAGGTAGTTAGTATTAGCATACTCATTTTACAGATCAGGGGATGGAAAATTACAGAGGTTAAATAACTTGTTTCGGGTTATACAGGGTTATACAGCTAGAACCAAGCCAGTACTTAAACCTTGGTCCCTTGACTCCAAGATCCATTTATGCATTTAACCCCTGTGCTGTACCATTTTTGGGCTGGAGGTCCTTGTGTAAATTTAAGGAAAGAAGATTCCTGGCTGTATCTGAATATATGTGGTCTCCATTACAAAGCTGATTATAAAAGTTTTTTTTTCCTTTTTTATATTTTATTGTTGTGGTTTAAATGAAGTTTACATCTCAAGTTAGTCTCCCATACAAAAATTTACACATACATTGTTATGTGACCCTAATTGCTCTCCCCATACTGTGACAGCACACTTCTCCTTTCCACCTCTGATTCCCCATGTCCATTCAACCAGCTCCTAACCCTCTCTACCTTCCCATCTCACCTCCAGACAGAAGCTGCCCATTTAGTCTCTTGTATCTACTGGAGCTAAGAGTCACACTCCTCATGAGTGTCACTTCATGTCCCACAGTCCAGTCCAATCCCTGTCTGAAGAGTTGGCCTCAGAAACTGTTTTAGTAATGGGCTGATAGAGATTCTGGGGGCATGCTTTCTGGGGTTCCTGCATTCTCAGTCAGACCATTAAGTCTGGTCTTCTTACTAGAATTTGAGTTCTGCACCCCACCTTTCTCCTGCTCCATCAGGGACTCTCCGTTGTGTTTCCTGTCAGGGTGGCCATATATGGTAGCCAGGCACTGTCTAGTTCTTCCGTTCTCAGGCTGATGAAGTCTCTGGTTTATGTGGCCCTTTCTATCTCTTGGGCTATTACTTTCCTTTTGTCTTTGGTGTTCTTCATTCTTCTTTAGTCCAGGTGGTTGGGGCCAATTGATGCATCTTAGATGGCCAGTTGCAAGCTTTTAAGACCCCAGACACTACTCACTGAAGTAGGATGCAGAACATTTTCTTAATAAGCTTTGTTATGCCAGTTGACCTAGTTGTCCCCTGAAAGCATGGTCCCCAGACCGCTACCCCTGCTACTCTGTCCCTCAAAGTGTTTGATTGTATTCAGGAAACTTCTTAGCTTTAGTTTAGTCCAGTTGTGCTGACATCCCCTGTAGTGTGTGCTGTCCTTCCCTTCACCTAAGCTAATACTTGTCTACTATGCAGTTAGTGAATAACCCTCACCCTCCCTCCCCACCCTCGTAACCATCAAAGAATGTTTTCTTCTGTGTTTAAACCTTTTCTTGAGTTCTTATAATAGTGGTCTTATACAATATTTGTCCTTCTGTGACTGACCAAATTCACTCAGCATGATGACCTCCAGCTTCCTCCATGTTATGTTTCATGGTTTCTTTGCTGTTCTTTATCATTGTGTAGTATTCCATTGTGTGGATATACCGTAATTTGTTTATCCACTCGTCCGTTGATGGGCATCTAGGTTGTTTCCATCTTTTTGCAGTTGTGAACAGTGCAGCAATGAACATGGGTGTGCATATATCTATTCGTGTGACGGCTCTTATTTCTCTCAGATATATTCCAAGGAGCGGGATAGCTGGATCGTATGGTACTTCTATTTCTAGCTTTTTAAGGAATCGCCAAATTGATTTCCATAGTGGTTGTACCATTTTACATTCCCACCAACAGTGGGTAAGTGTTCCAGTCTCTCCAGAACCTCTCCAGCATTTATTATTTTGTATTTTTTGGATTAATGCTAGCCTTGTTGGGGTAAGATGATATCTCATTGTAGTTTTGATTTGCATTTCTCTAATGGCTGATGATCATGAGCATTTCTTCATGTGTCTGTTAGCTGCCTAAATATCTTCTTTGGTGAAGTGCCTGTTCACATCCTTTGCCCATTTTTTAATTGGGTTATTTGTCTTTTTGTTGTTGAGGTTTTACAGTATCTTGTAGATTTTAAAGATTCGATGCTGATTGGATTTTTTGTAGCCCCCAGTTTTTTCCCAATCTGTAGGTTGTCTTTTGACTCTTTTGGTGAAGTCTTTTGATGAGCATAAGTGTTTGATTTTTAGGAGCTCCCAGTTATCTAGTCTCTCTTCTGGTTTTTGTGCATTGTTACTTATGGTTCGTATTGTGTTTATGCCATGTATTAGGGCTCCTAGCGTTGTCCCTATTTTCTCTTCAGTGATCTTTATCATTTTCGATTTTATATTTAAGTCTTTGATCCATTTTGAGTTAAGTTTTTGTGCATAGTGTGAGGTATGGCTCTTGGTTCAGTTTTTTGCAGATGGATATCCAGTTCTGCCAGCACCATTTGTTAAAGAGACTGTCTTTTCCCCAATTAATGGACTTTGGGCCTTTGTCAAATATTAGCTGCTCATAGGTGGATGAATTTATTTTTGGATTCTCAGTTCTGTTTCGGTGGTCTATGTATCTGTCATTGTGCCAGTACCAGGCTGTTTTGACTACTGTGGCAGTATAATAGTTTCTAAAATCAGATAGTGTGAGGCCTCCCACTTTGTTCTTCTTCTTGAGTAATGCTTTACTTATCCGGGGCCTCTTCCCTTTCCATATGAAGTTGGTGATTTGTTTCTCCATCTCATTAAAACGTGTTGGTGGAATTTGGGTCGGGATTGCATTGTATCTGTGGATTGCTTTGGGTGGAGTTGACATTTTCACAATGTTGAGTCTACCTATCCATGAGCAAGGTATGTTTTTCCACTTATACAGGTCTCTTTTGGTTTCTTGCAGTAGTGTCTTGTAGTTTTCATTGTATAGATCTTTTATGTCTCTGGTTAGATTTATCCCTAAGTATTTTATCTTC